GTTCTAGAAGCATTCTCTCCTGATGTTTTGCCTGCATCTATGGCAAAAATCCTCAGAGGTTGTGAGGTCTGTTGGAAACTAGGAAAATGGGGTTTATGTATATGTGGAATGTCCAGGGTGAGAGAAAGAACTCTTGTCTGTTTGAGGTAGGTATGAATGTTAACTGGCCACCTTGATTAGCATTTAATGGCCTAGAAGTTTCAAGGTCAGGCTTCTTACTGCCTGGGGGAATCCTTTCTTGGGAGGTGATTAGCTGGCCTTGATTGTTTCTTGTCTGGAATTCCCCTGTTTTTGAGTGTTGTCCTTTATTTACTGTTATGATTTTAGACTTTTTTAAAAAATACCAGTAGCCAGATTTTGTTCATTTTCATGGTATTTTCCAGCTAGGGCCAGCTAATCACCCCCCAACAAAGGATTCCCCCAGGCAGTAAGAAGCCTGACCTTAAAACTGCTAGGCTATTAAATACTAATTAAGATGGACAATTGAAACATTCACATCTACTTCAAACAGAAAAAATATTTCTCCCACCCTGGACATAGATAAAACCCAGTTTCCTAGTTTCCAACAGACCTCACAACCTCTGAGGATGTCTGCCATAGATGCAGACAAACATCAGGAGAGAATGCTTCTGGAACATGGCCATACAGCCTGGAAAACTCACAACAACCAATTTTATGCTTTTCCAGTACAGGTATAAATTGTTCCTTGGAACTGATCTTCTTTGCAAAGGTTTTAATTTCTTCCATAGATCTGAGCAAATTTTTTGTAAGAGGGAATCTATTCAACTCAACAGTCACAAGTGTAATCTATCTATCTATCTCACCACCTAGAGTTGTTTAAGCAGGGGCATCCATTTCCTTTGGCCAGAGAAGCTTGGATAAAAGTTGCAATGAAGCAGATAGTGATGGGGTGGCCTCCTTCTTCACCCTGTCCATTAGATTACAATACCATTTGCATTTGAAATAAATAAATAAATATCTAAAAGGGAATGCAACAGGACTGGGAAGAAAGACATTTGTCTTTCGCACACTCATGAATCAATTAGCCTGGGATCCCTCTCACGCAGATGTCATCTCGGTGCAAACTCTAATATTTCACTCTGTCCAGGAGGAAACTTGCTGGCATTCCTTTTTAAACACCCTCATAAAAATCCTATAAACTATGCCATCATTTACTGTCTGCTCAGCAGATGGGGGAAACAACTATGTCAACAGGATTTGCAGGGCAGGTTTTTTCTTTGCTGTTATCACTACAATCTGATAAACCTGTATATATTATTTCACAGGCTCTTCCTGGTGGCTGTTTTATAGATCTCCACGCTGTGAGTTTTCTTTCCTTTCCCCCCTTCAATGCCAATATGAGTGCTGATTTCTCCCCGAATAAAAATGCATAAAAGTCACCCAAGGAGCAGTCAAATCAATATGCAAGGCTGGTTAGCTGTGTTTTGTCCTCAGATGTATTGACTATTATTACGCAAATGAGAGACACTGGTGCGTTTTTCCATTTGAAAAGCTCCCATTCACCTTGGTGGCCATAACACAGGGCAAGACCTAAATTGAAAATGGTTAAAGTCAAAGTGGGTAAAACACAAAACAGCTGCTTTTATTTATTCGTTTAATTAATTTGGAAGAGAAAAGGGGGAAAGGTGTTATATTTCTCACCCTTGGGGGATTTGATTAAGCTAAATCCTATGGTGAAATAACAACACAAATTTGACATATATTCTGGTTTAGGAAGCAATAGTTATTCTTATGCAAGAATTCTTGCCTGTAAAGTCACAAATAATGTATAATATTTGAAACAACACGTATTGTTGCTTTACTTTCAGACTGCATGATCATCATCTCCAGCTAATGGTGATGGTGTTGTGGATGATGGGAGTCATACTGCTAAACCTATGAAAGATAACGGGTTGGAGAACTACTGAATCTAAAATAGGTTTGGTTTGTTGTGAGTTTTCAGGGCTGTAAGGCCATGTTCCAGAAGCATTTTCTCCTGATGTTTCGCCCACATCTATGGCAGGCATCCTTGGAGGTTGTGAGCTCTGTTGGAAATTAGACAAGAGAGGTTTACATATCTATAGAATGTCCAAGGTGGGAGAAGGAACACTTGTCTGTTTGAGGCACGTGTAAATGTTGCAAGTGGCCACCTTGATTAGCATTTAATGGCCTTGCAATTTCAAAGCCTGGCTGGTTGCTGCCTCGGGGATCCTTTGTTCAGATCTGTTAGCTGGCCCTGATTGATTCTTATCATAGAATCAAAGAGTTGGAAGAGACCTCATGGGCCATCCAGTCCAACCCCCTGCTAAGAATCAGGAATATTGCATTCAGATCACCCCTGAAAGATGGCCATCCAGCCTCTGTTTAAAAGCTTCCAAAGAAGGAGCTTCCACCACACTCCGGGGGAGAGAGTTCCACTGCTGAACGGCTCTCACAGGAAGTTCTTCCTCATGTTTTGATGGAATCTCCTCTCTTGAAGTTTGAAGCCATTGTTCCGTGTCCTAGTCTCCAAGGAAGCAGAAAACAAGCTTGCTCCCTCCTCCCTGTGGCTTCCTCTCACATATTTATACATGGCTATCATATCGCCTCTCAGTCTTCTCTTCTTCAGGCTAAACATGCCCAGCTCCTTAAGCTGCTCCTCATAGGGCTTGTTCTCCTGACCTTTGATCATTTTAGTCACCATCCTCTGGACACATTCCAGCTTGTCAATATCTCTCTTGAATTGTGGTGCCCAGAATTGGACACAATATTCCAGGTGTGGTCTAACCAAAGCAGAATAGAGGGGTAGCATTACTTCCCTAGATCTAGACACTATGCTGCTATTGATGCAGGCCAAAATCCCATTGGCTTTTTTTGCCGCCACATCACATTGTTGGCTCATGTTTAACTTGTTGTCTACGAGGACTCCAAGATCTTTTTCACACGTACTGCTCTCAAGCCAAGCGTCCCCCATTCTGTATCTTTGCATTTCGTTTTTTTTCTGCCTACGTGGAGTATCTTGCATTTGTCCCTGTTGAACTTCATTTTGTTAGTTTTGGCCCATCTCTCTAATCTGTCAAGATCGTTTTGAATCCTGCTCCTGTCCTCTGGAGTATTGGCTATCCCTCCCAATTTGGTGTTTGCAAACTTGATGATCATGCCTTCTAGCCCTTCATCTAAATCATTAATAAAGATATTGAACAGGACCGGGCCTAGGATGGAACCCTGCCTGGAATTCTTGTCTGGAATTCCCCTGCGGTGGTGCAATGGGTTAAATCCTTATGCTGGCAGGACTGAAGACTGGCTGGTTGCTGCCTGGGGGATCCTTTGTTGTGAGCTGTTAGCTGGCCCTGATTGATTCTTGTCTGGAATTCCCCTGCGGTGGTGCAATGGGTTAAACCCTTATGCTGGCAGGACTGGAGACTGACAGGTCAGAGGTTCAATTCTGGGGAGCGCATGGAAGAGCTCCCTCTGTCAGCTCAAGTTCCCCATGTGGTGACATGAGAGAAGCCTCCCACAAGGATGGTAAAACATCAAAACATCCGGGCATCCCCTGGGCAACATCCTTGCAGATGGCCAATTCTCTCATAACAGAGTGACTTGCAGTTCCCTTCTGACACGAAAAAAACCCCTGTATGTTTGAATGCTGTCGGTAGCTTAATTTCACATTAATCTTTGTAAATTTTAACTGCCCTGCATTTTAATTTGTAAGTTGCCATATCTTCCAGATGAATGTCAGTTCAAAGGGGGCAGATGAATACTGTTTGCTTAAGTAACTTTGGCCAAGTGATAGCAATGCAAAACCTAGAAAAGTAATTTTTGGAATGGGATTTTGCTTTCCACAGTTCTCAACCCAATTGTGGGCACTGTCTGTCTTGGATAAGACAGTTCTAATCCCCAAATAACATTTCCAAGCTCTTGCTCTTAGGGGCATAGAGACATCAGTAGTGGTAACCTGGTGGCTACAGTGGGGGATGGTGACTTAGGCATTGCCATCAATGTGGAAATGGATCATCAGAAAAGAAGATGCAAGTTTGCTTCAGATGTAGATACATCCACAGTTCAACACTGAAACCACTATACCGCTTGCCAATGTTAAAATGTTAACTTGAAACTTATTTAAAAAGTTAGCATATCCAGTGCATCTCTTGACTTCCCTGGATCTAGGTACTATACTCCCATTTTGCCTTGCATCAATAGGAGCCTAGTGTCTAGATCCAGGGAAGTCATGCTACCCCTCTATTCTGCCTTCGTCAGACCACAACTGGAATATTGTGTCCAATTCTGGGCACCACAATTGAAGAGAGATATTGACAAACTGGGATGTGTCCAGAGGAGGGCAACTAAAATGATCAAGGGTTCTGGAGACCAAGCCCTATGAGGAGTGGTTTAAAGAGCTGGGTATGTTTAGCTTGAAGAAGAGAAGGTTGAGAGGAGACCTGATAGCCATGTATAAATATGTGAGAGGAAGTCATAGGGAGGAGGGAGCAGGCTTGTTTTCTGCTGTCCTGGAGACTAGGACGCAGAACAAAGACTTCGAATTACAGGAAAGGAGATTCCATCTGAACATTAGGAAGAACTTCCTGACTGTGAGAGCTATTCAGCAGTGGAACTCTCTGCACCGGACTGTGGTAGAGGCTCCTTTTTTTAGAAGCTTTTAAACAGAGGCTAGATGGCCATCTGTCAGGGTTGCTTTGAATGCATTTTTCCTGCTTTTTGGCAAGAGGTTGGACTGGATGGCTCATGAGGTCTCTTCCAACTCTATGATTCTATGATTCTTTCTATCTCCAGCTAATCAAATAATTGAAGCCTAGTTCAAAAAAAGAAGATTTTTTGGCCTGCTGGCCTAAGGGAGTGAGGCAACTTTCCTATATGGAAAGAAATTGGAACTCAACAAGGCAGACAGCAAACAAATACTACCACTCCCACAAGCCATTGTGCAGCCAAGGTTCTTTTTTTAATGCGACGCTTCTGCAAAGCATGCTGGGAAGCGTAGTTCTAAGGGTTCATTCAGTCTTTGCCTGAAGTCAAGGATGAATTTCGAAACACCTGCCTGTCTTCGGGGAAAGGTTTTGGAGCAAAGGCAAAACCCCAAAACCAGCCCACTTTCTTGGCCCCTCCTTAGCAGGCAAAGCATGAAAAGCAGCCAACCAGGAACTTCTGCAGAAAGCATGGTGCAGATTGCCAGGTAAGGAGCTCAGGCATTTTCTTAGTGAATCAGTGACTCACCGGAGGGGCTTCAGGAGAGGGGCTCTGGGATGCTGTTCCTTTACAATTGTGATTGTTAAAATGTGTACGACTGATTGCTTTAAATGTTCTTTTAAACTGATGTTTTAACCATTTTATATGTTTGAAAGTAATGGTTCATGATATATTTCAATATGTTACTGTACCACACTTTGATCCATTATTATTATTATTATTATTATTATTATTAATAATAATAATAATACTATTTGAAACACAAGATGAGTTCACAGCAGACACTCTGCTGGCTGTTGTATTGGATCACACGAAGGACACTTCCTAAGTGTCTAGGACTATGTGATGTATCGGCGAATAATGCTTGCAGATCCCAGTAAGGTGGCCTTCTGCAGCTGGCAGATGGTAATTTTGTCAGCAAAAATTGTGTTTAAGTGCAGGCCAAGGTTTTTAGGCACTGCACCCAGTGTGTCGATCACCACTGGGACCCCCTTGACTGGCTTGTGCTAGAGTCTTTGCAGTTCAATCTTTAAATCTTCATATTGTGTCAGTTTTTTCCAGTTGTTTCTGTTCAATCCTGTTGTCACCTGGGATTGCAACATCGACAATCCATACTTCGTTTTTTAACACAATCGTAAGGTCGGGAGTATTGTGCTCCAAAACTGTCTGTCTGAATTCAGAAGTCCTAGAGTAGCTCGACGTGTTCATTCTCTGTAACTTTTTCAGGCATGTGATCCTACCAGTTCTTTGTCGCAGGCAAATAATAATAATAATAACAATAATAATAATAATAATAATAATTAGAAACACTCTGCTGGCTGTTGTATTGGATACTATTGTAATATTATTATTTCAGTAGGCTAGGAAAGTAACAATGTTCAGTTGCGGAAAGATTACAAACCCTGTTTGTTACAAAAGAGAATTTGGTGGCACCTAGAAAGACTGAACAAATTTAATTTGGGCTAAAATTTTAAGGAGTACTTGTACACTGTAGAGTTAATGCAGTTTGACACCACCTTAACTGCCATAGCACAATGTTATGGAATCATAAAAGATGTAGTTTGGTGAGGCAGGAAAACTCTTTTGCAGAGAAAGGTAAAAACCTTGTAAAACTACGTCATTCAGGGTGGACGATAAAGTTCTACAATATAGATCAGTGGTTCCCAACCTGTTTTTGACAATATACCACCTTGACTAGGGACCACTCTCCAATATTAGTTCCAAAAGGGTTACAAATCACTTTTTGGCCAACTTTAGATTTGGTTTGATTCCTTGGAGGTGCTGATTCTGAAAATTGCATTGGATAGACCACATCAGCTCTAGTTTCTGATGCAGAACATATGCCATCCAGTAGTCACCATCTCCTCAGCCACAGAATGACAGATTTAATCATCTAGAGCTGATGTGGTAGTAGCAATCTTTTGTGGGTAGTCGGCTTCTCCCCTCCTGGCATCCCCATTGCCTCAGCACCATAAGAGGGTTTCGTTGCCATGTAGTTTTGACACAATGGTGTAGTAATGGTGAAACCACAGACCATATTTTTGTTCTTGCAGACCACTGGTGGTCCACGGACCACAGGTTGGGAACCACTGATGTAGATGAAATAATGAGAGTTGTAGTTTTACAGAGTCTGTAGCCTCCTCTGCCAGAGAGCGCTTGGGCCTCACTAAGCTACAATTCCCAGGATTCCATAGCTTTGAGTCATGGCAATTAAAGTGTTGTTAGAGGTTCGCAACTTGATTGAGTCTGAGTTGATGTTTTTATATGTGCATGTGTTATATTTTATTATATTTTATATTGTGTTCACTTTTATGTTTTTTTAGGCACTTTGTGCCATCTGTAAGCCACCTCGAGTCCCTTTGTGGAGATGATGGTTGGATATAAGAATATTGTTGTTGTTATTATTATTATTTGAAACACAACAAAATGATATTGTCAGTGCCAATTGTGTTTAAGTGCAGGCCAAGGCTCTTAGGCACTGCACCCAGGGTGCCGGTCACCACTGGAACCACCTTGACTGGCTTGTGCCAGTCTTTGCATTATTATTATTATTATTATTATTATTATTATTATTATTATTATTATATAGCATGAAATCTACAGGGTAGATCAGGGGTCCTCAAACTTTTTAAACGGGGGGCCAGATTACTGTCCCCCAGACCGTTGGAGGGCCGGACTATAGTTTTTTTAAAAAACGATGGCCAAATTCCTAAACACACTGCACATGTCCTATTTTGCTACTGTTATGAATTGTAATGTAAATATCTGATATTTTTATTGTTACAATCTGAACATAAAGCATGGTTTTAGCATTTCTGAAGATAAAATAGTTCCAATTAAAATGAGGAAAACATTCTATTTTCTGTCGTTTTGAAAGTGGTTTTTGGAATATGTAAGCATGAGTCCCCTTTTGGGGGGGAGAAGGGCAGGGTATAAATATAGGAAATAAATCTATATAAATAAAAATGTAATGTTCATTTGTGGGATTAACAGAACTCAAAAAGCACTGGACACCTAACAACCCAATGTATGTCCTTCACTAAAAAAATTGATTTTGTCATTTGGGAGTTGTAGTTGCTGGGATTTATAGTTCACCTACAATCAAAGAGCATTCTGAACCCCAACGATGGAATTGAACCAAACTTGGCACACAGTTCTCCCATGACCAACAGAAAATACTGGAAGGGTTTGGTGGGCAATGTCCTTTGGTTTTGGAGTTGTAGTTCAACTACATCCAGAGATCACTGTGGACTCAAACAATGATGGATCTGGACCAAACTCTACATGAATACCCAGTCTGCCTGGCTTCTTAGGCTGTTGCCCCAGGTCAAGGTTCAGAAAAGAACTTCTTTAAGTAAGCAGGTAGAAGAGATCTTGTAAAGATTCAGCACAGTGGATCCTTGAGATTTGCCACAATTTGATCCCAGGAACCCTGATTCATACCACAATCCATGGATGCACAAGTCCCATTATATACGATGGTGCCATAAAAGTGTCCCTTATATAAAATAGAAAAATAAAAGCTTGCTTTTTTTGAATTCAATGGATAATGGAATCTCTGGATGCAGAGTTTGTGGATATGGAGGGCTAGCTGTACTTTGATTACTGGGGCAGCAGAGCTACTCTATCCGTTCATAAATGAATAGGCAGCCAAGAAGAAAATACAACCACCTCCTGACCCTACATACCTTATGTTTGCTGTGGTTTGTTCTGAGGCATCCATGACATTGAGTTCTTGCTTTATGCTGCAGCCTCAGCTCTTACTTGAAAAAGAGAAGAAGAAAATTGGATTGTTCTCCTTCTGTGAGGCTTAGAAATCAAAACAAACAAACAATCCCAAGAATGCTCATGTTAATGGGGATGGGAATATGCTGTCTATACTTGATGTGCTAGCAGGCAGAGATATCTGAAGTGAGAGAAAGGAGGGAGAAGGGAATGGTAGAGCCTTCTTGCTCCTCACTGGAAGGCTTACAGCCTCAGGCCCCATCTCATGTAACATTTGGTATAATACTAATAAATAATTGCCCTTTGCTTGAGACTCCATGTGGTAGTGTTGCCAAATTCATCCCTCACAAAACTCAAATTCATGACATGGAGGGTCAATAATCAAGATGCAGCTTTTCACAAGTTTATGTTCTCCTTCTGTACTAAATGAAAGTATTGATTTCACTTAACTTAGCCATGTATCCCTGTGAAAAATGGACATATTGCTTATGTTCATAAGGGACATCTGTCAGCCCTAGAAGCGGCAAGCTTTCCTGACCATAAATAATTGACATTTCTTATTATAAGCAACACCCTGTAACCCAACTGTGCAGTTTTGACTTTGTGTTTTTGATTATTTACATATTTGATTTAAAATGTTTTCATTAGGAATCTCTGGGTCTTCCACTGTGACTCAGTGGTGAGCTTCCCTCAGTCATGCTTTGGGATTTCTAGATAGAACACTTCTCTAGGACTTTCTATGCCTTCCACTTCAATTCTATGTTCCAGTAGAATCATACTGAAAGAACTGGGGTAGATTGTCCTAAATACCAGTTGTCTCAAGTAAAGAAAAAAAGATAGCAATATCTTTGTGTTGCTGAAGGCTTTAATGGGTTGTATTTAATGCAATAATTGGGTTGTTGTAGGTTTTTCGGGCTTTATGGCCATGTTAGGAGAGAATACTTCTAGAACCTGGCCATACAGCCCGAAAAACCTACAACAACCCAGCAATATCTTTATTTGTGGTTTGAAACTTGTGCTCCTAACCCCAGTGAATGTGAATGATCTGCTTGAAGCTATATGTGGATGCTGGATAGGCCCAAAGGGATCCTGTTTGTTCCCTTTCTGAGCATCTCTATGTTATAGAGTTGGAGCAATTAAAAGCAACTTTAACAGCCATAGCTCTGTCTTATGGAATCCTGGGATTTATCGTTTGGCAAGCAACGTAGATTTCTCTGCTGTAATGCTACAGCACTAAAATTTCCCCAAAAAAGACTTTTAATTCCCCCACCAAACTAAAAATCTCAGGGTTCTGGAGAATACATCCATAGCAATTAAATTGTTTTTTTGTTTTTTGTTTTTAGTGTCAGGAGCGACTTGAGAAACTGCAAGTCACTTCTGGTATGAGTGAATTGGCTGCCTGCAAGGACATTGCCCAGGGGATGCCTGGATGTTTGATGTTTTACCATCCTTGTGGGAGGCTTCTCTCATGTCCCTGCATGGAGAGCTGGAGCTGACAGAAGGAGCTTAACCTGCTCTCCCTAGATTCTAACCGGTGACCTGTTGGTCAGTAGTCCTGCCGGCACAAGGGTTTAACCCATTGTATCAAACTGCTATAGCTGTGCCTTTAGTGTATCCTTGTTACACTTCTGTTTATTAGAGTTGCATCTTTTGTTTTTTCTTAAACATCTCATCTTTAGCTTACTTGTACTTCTTCCCTGCCCATCAAGCCATTAAGGGAGAAGTTACTTTTAGCAAGGTTGTAGTTTTATGAGGTTTCTA